ATATATATATATATATATATATATATATATATATATATATATATATATATATATATATAAATTAAAATTACATAAAAATTTTGATTTTATTTATATTCAGATTTATTAAATTTAGATTTATGATTAAAAAAGTTCAGGATATCTCTATACAAATTTTACGAATAATAAATATAATTGTTGGAAGAAAAATTTTATGTTACATTATATCTCATCTTTTCCCACTCTATGTATTATAATTGTAATTAAATATATAAGGGCACATTGTATGCAGCCTCTTTTTTCTAAAGTACAATCAGCTTATGTTTCATTGAAATGCTACAACTGATAGTTCGTAGTAGTTAGATAATATAAAAATATTTTGTGCGTATTTTAATCTAATGATACTTTCTAAATATATTAATGAATCGAAGCAGAATTAGAACTTGACTCATAATTGAGACTGTTACTTTACTGCATATTTCACAAAATAAGATCTTACTTCTACAAGTCAAAATCAATATAAAATCATTATAAAATAAAGCAGTAAAGTAATAGAAACCATTGAAAATCAGTGAATATTCACTGATTATCGGTGAAATATTCCCTTTACTGTTTCAATCAAAAACATTTTTATTCATTCACTTCAAAAGAATTCACTTTGTCAATACTTACTGCGTCTCCTTCAGCCAGTCAAAGTAGAATGCAACGACATGAACTGCAAACTTCTCAAATCCGGCAGAACGACGCAATGTCTTGCTCGACTCTACTGACGTCCTGACATTACTAAGACTTGTGATGTTCCCGACATCTCGACGCTACTAACGTCATGACGCTTCTGACGTCTCGACGCTACGACCCGCAAGTGTTCATTTCTCATTCCTACAATCCAACAGACTTCGTCATGGTAAATAATTACAAAATTGATTTTCGACATTCACGTCGATAATTCGCGCGCAAGACTCGCTTTCGGCGAGCCAGAAATGTAAAGGGTTACGATTCGAACCTCGGGCTATTATTTATGCGACTAATATGTAATTCACAGTTCGACATTTGTGACGCCCTGTTTCGCGAAATATTTACTCTTGTCCCTATAATTCAACGATACTTTGTCATAATGAGTGACCGCGAAACTGATTTCCATCATACACTACGATAATTCGCACACTCAGTGCCGGCGAGACGAGAATGTAAAGTGACGCACTTTGAGGCTCAAACCGCCATTAAAGCAATCGACGCGCAATAACTTGTTTGGCATTTCTGACCGTTTCGCGAGATATTTGTGACTCTCTGTTTTGCGAGATATTTACTCTTGTCCCTATAATTCAACGATATTTTGTCACAATGAGTGACTGCGAAACTGATTTCCATCATTCATACACTGCGATAATTCGCACATTCGCTGCCGGCGAGATGAGAATGTAAAATGACGCACTTTGAAGCTTAAACCGCCATTAGAGCAACCGACATGCAATAACTTGTTCAGCATTCCTGACCGTTTCGCAAGATATCTGCTTTCGGCGACTACTCGAGAATAAGTCTCCATAATGATACGAGTAAGGTTAACTGTCAATGCCTTCGCGTAATGGTCTTAATACGAATCTCACCTTCGGCCGAAATTTCAGGAAACACCGCGAGCCCTACCAAGCACGTCCTTTCTCATCAGCATCCATTATGAAAAGGGTGAACACCGCAATGATTGAGAAACTCGAAATGCATCGATATCACACTTCAATCAATAACAATCAATATGGCCGTCAGAGAAGAATCCGCGGGAAGTGTCTGGCATTGTTTCGTAAGATATTTATATTTTCAGCGGCTATCTGGTTGTGTAAAACTAGTTTGTAATTTTCCAGGTGAATGATTCATATATAAACTTTTCATAAGCGAGATTCCTAAATATGAAAGGGCTCTTCGAGTCGGTGCTGCTCCCTCGCAATTTTTAAACATACTGTCTTTATCGACGGCGCTGAGCAAGATCGTGGTTTAGAAGTTACGAAAGATAAAAGTAAATTCAGATGGCGCTCGATAAACGTGAATTGTAGAGGTCTCGTAGTCTCGCTGTGCTCACAGAAAAGATCGCGTGAATTTATACATATCGTTCGTTGAAATAATGTAGAGTTTTAACAGATAATTGACGCCGAGTTTCCCCTTGTCTTCATCTGTATATTCTGTAAAGTAATAGGTAAGCGCTCGCTGTTTCTACCGTACTCAAATCGTATCCGGCCGAATAGCGCCGTTACGTCGGCATCGCCCAGATTCGATCGGGTGCAATGAGTTCATCGTTCAATGTCTCGCCGCACTTGAATACCAATTAATCTCGTCTGAGCCACCGTTCTCACGGATAGCTCGAGCGATCACGATTGAACGTCGAAAAAGCGTGACTGTTCTTTTCGCGTAGATTTTACACCTTGCCGACAATTCGACCGAAGTTGACGTCATTGCTGAGAAATCAATAGCTGCATCTGGGCCCATTTGCATTACACTTCCCCTCACGGGTCACAGTGTAGACGTATTGACATTCTTCCGAGACGTGTCAATTTTGTTGCAAGAATTAACTTCATGTATGATTGAATTAGATGTATAATTAGGAAGGTCGTATGCTTAGGTATTACTCTCCAAACAGCAAGATGATGTCTGATCGAAAAGCTGAATTAGAGAGAAAGAAGGCAAAGTTGCAAGCTATCAGGGAAGAAAAGGAAAGGCGCAGGAGAGAAAAGGAACAGAAAGATGTGAGATGAACAAATTTATAATTGTTTAAGTATGAAGTGGTTACGATAATTAAACATCTTGTTTCTGCATCATAGGTAGAAGAAGCGACTGTTCGTGCTGCTGGCACGGACAAGGATCAGCGCAAAGAAATAGATGCAATGTTATCTTCCCTGGGTGTAGCACCAGTGTCAGGTATAAACTATATACTTGATCGTGTATTGTCCCCAGTATCATGTTCTAACTATATATGATGGTTTTCAGATGTATTATCTAGTTTGTCCAGTATGAACTCATTAACACCTGAACAAAGTGCCAATGCAACACCAGATGCCAGCTTACAACCATCTAGCATAAATTCGGCTCAAAGGTATTTACATCATATGCTTGTTAATAATTGTATTGTGTACCAATACAAGTAAGACCAATTGTAACATTTCTACTGTGACCTAAAGCAGTGCAGGACGAAGAAAGAACCGGGAGCTTACCATAGTTTCTGTGGCGCACACAAACATTCCACCGAAAGAACCAGTCGTGTATAGCAAGCAAACGCAAACCATACAAACGACGCATACATCCCACGACGGTGAGTCAATATTTCCTTTATACTATTTATCTCTATTGCACATATGTGTTACATTTCACTCGTGATCTCGCAAAAAATCGTTTAGCTGTTAGAAGACACGTGTTTCTTGGTATTCAGCTCACGATGTTTTAAAGATATACGATATTGATGGAATTGAAACGTAATTCATTCTTTTAAAAATTCTGAAAAATGAATTAATTAGTTTTGCAAGATGTGTATTGAATATTGTTACTCTTCCATGGTATAATTGTGATGACAATTTCTTGCTATTTCATGTTAGATAATTCCATTGACTACCAGTGTGGTATTCACTTTAATATAAGTTCACAAATTTATAGTGCGTTCACAGTGCGTGTTTTAAGATCACTGGAAAATATCATCAACCTACACATATACCATAATTTTCGCATCAACGAATTTTCATTCATGATCGAGTATGGTAAAGTGGGTGGTGTATAAAATATATACTATATTATCCTATATATTTTTAATTGCAACACTGTGTTGATGAATCTATAACTGTTTACTAAAATTTTAACAATATTCTTTTGTTTATTAACTACCAACAAAATAATGAAATAAGTTGTAATACCATTAATCATACGAGCGCGAGTTTCTTTAATTTTTAGTCTCTCTTGAGTGAAGATAACATTAAGATTGAGTTAACCTTCTAAATTATTTCCTATATGATTAATTTCAAAAAAAGTGGTGAGGAAACTTACATATTCTCGAAATGTGTACATACTTATGAGGCAAAGGAATTTAAATAACCCACTACAGTGCACTTGTTGTATTTTCTCCTCATATCATCTGTGAGGAATTAATATTTTTCAACACTTTATATATATGATTTCTACGTTTTATTATTTGAGGTATATTCTGCATTAAGAAAATAACGCATTTCTCTTATTGTGAGCCTTAGATTATATGTGTGACAAAGTGTATCAGGTCATATTATAACAGGTAATAACGCGTCTAACAAGCAATCTGGGTTTGGTTTAAGTTATGTAATTCTTTCGGTGGTGGCAATACTCCTACATATATCGTTTTCATTTCCATGACACACAACCGCAAACTCAGTTAGTTCTTAAATATTTGTTTTACATGATGATTAATCTCAGTTTTACAATCATCTAACGATACAAATGATTATAGACAGTTTATGTTGGTGTGATTAACAAACTATGTAAATTTTAAAGAGTTTGTTCTTATACCACCTACTTTACTGTAGTGATATATAATTCTGCATCAACTCTGACATAAAATTTTAATTCTGATTAAAAAAATATTTCTCTTAAAGCTATACAGTTGTGTTCAATTCGTGATCTTGGAAGATATATATTAATAATTGGAATATCTCGTGAAATATACACACATATATACATACGTATAGAATGATTTTTTCTATATATTTGCTATATCTAACTGATCTTGCGGTGTTATTAAACATTCGCGTGTTCCCTTGTCTTGCGATACAATCTGATCGATTCATCCGGTGTTGGACATAAGGACTGTCCACATCGTCCTCTGCATACACCATCTACTCCTGTTCAACAACAACACCAACTCACTCTTGCTCCGCAGGCTACTTTGAGACTGACTGGTGGCGCCCCAGGAAAGGTGGGTCTGCACCAAACTACCTATGTATGTTCTGTCTACTTTTTTACTACCCTTTCATATATAATTGTTGTTACAACATTATATTATAGAGGTAGATACGAAGTTCGCGTTTCCGAACGAAAGGATGTAGAGTCTAGCTTTGAGGGTGCTTTGCGCTGCTTAAACATTGCTCCGCAGATTTTTATGACTATACCTGACTTTTTCGTTCTTCATATGTATGAAACTATGTGAAGGCAACGAGTACAGGAGTCATGAAGATTACATACAATGTCTTGCTATAATGATCAATTTTATCCTAACTATGCTGCAAATTTTGTATGTGGAAGTTTCTAACTATATACTAGGAATATACCTTAGTATTTTACAAAAGAGCAATGTGTGTGTGTATTATCATAACTATCTTCATGATAGTTTTGTAGTTTTATTTCCACATACACATGACTATTTGCTTGCATATAAAATAAGCTTACTCACGCTTCGAAATTCTAGTTCTAATGAAATAATCAGTTGACAACAAGTTAAGATTACACAGCACATTAACTCTAGGCGTCCTGTTTGTTGGGAAAACACACGAATTGTACGACTGTAAATTAAACTTCACAGAATCATACCATGACTCATGCGTGCTGATAAATAATTGGTATTTGTGCTGACAGAAAGTTTTGATAATTATCAATATTTCTCCAAGAAATAGAAAATTATAATGACCTAACGACGAGAGTATATGAGAGACGAAAATAGCTTCTTTGGCGATATTTCTTAGTGTGCTTGATAACGAATTAATTGCTGAAGTAAATATACATACATTTTAACAGCTGTTGATAGAGATGTTCGGATTGCTACTAAAATTATCCTGCTTTTTTGTGGATCGTTCTATGCATTAATAAGGAAAATAATAATGAAATCAATTTCAGAGAGACTTGGGGGGGGTGGGCATAAGTGTGACAAGGGATGTGAGTGAGATATTGCAATTTATTCGTCTTTATTTCATTAGGCATAATGAGGAATAAAAAAATTTCTCACCATAATCAATGAAAGAAAGTGTTGAACAACGAAGATAGACATTGATTTTACCCTAAACATGGTAAACATTCTGAATATGTACGTTTCCTCTTATACATAGGATCCAAAGCACCGCACAATATAAGAATTTACAAAATTATATTCACCTAACTACATTCAGCTTAACAATCGTTTTTGTTCCAATATACTTTCAAGTAACATTTACAAAATACTGAAGTTTTCTTTATTGTTTTGCGTTTCCTTTTTTCTTTCTTTCTTTATAATATCTTTACAGACAAGTTATACAGCACAGAGAAACTTGTTTGCTTTTACAATGTATTAACACGATAGTCCCGAGTGCCTTTTTAAAACTACTATAAATTTACATTACAAGTCGTGAAACTTTTTATTACACTTTTATACAATTTTTGGATTTTATCACCGATTTGTTTTTATTCAGAACTGAATGGTCTGAGTGTAGAGAGGTGTTATTAGTGTAGTGCATTCTCTTATAATATCGTAACTAAGTACAATTTTTTTCCCTCCCCTTCTCAGCTCATGCATTCGACTATTACGGTAAGTTATGATTTCTCTTGGTTCTGAAAGCAACTTTTAGGTTCAGAGTTAGGTTTAGCTTGATTCAGTTTATTGCTTAAGAAAACGATTCTATAAAGAGAAGGTACTATGTGAATGAGGATTGTATTCTGAAAGATAGAACGTGAATAGAAAGAGTAACGCGTAATCAAATTAGAGATTAAACTTCACATGCTATTCCAAATTACTCACGCCAAAACGAATGTGTCGAGGTAAGCGCAACATTGCTACTGAATTTCAAGTCTCTTCGCCAGATAGATTATCCACCTGATACTTCCGTCATATGAACCTACTTGATACTCACAACTAGAAATAATGCATTTTTCGTACTCATTGAGAATAGATACGCCAGTCTAGAGAACGTACGAAAAATATCATCTTCCGGATTTAGTTTTCCATAGATAACGTTGTAATAGTAGTGCAGGAATGCAAAACAGCTCTCCACCCAGAACCTAATTGGTCTTTGCTGTCTTATGGATTGCTTTTGTATCTTCCGACTCTCTTTTCTCATTACGTTTATCTATTTTTGGGTGCATTTGTTCTTATTTATTGTATCTATTATTTTCCAAATATTTGTCTGACATCCCGACTCAACAAAAGAAATCTGCTATTGGGTACACAACACAAATCTATCTGCATATATACCTGCCTCTCGGGAAGCATGTTAAAAAATGGTTGCCCCTGGCTCTTTAAACTCAAAACACGTTTTTTGCAACATTTGCAAGCTATGTCTTTACAGTATGTATGTGTGTACGTATATATATATATATATGTATACACACACACATATATATACATATATATAAAACTAATTGTACACAATAGGCATGCTATCAAAAAAAAAATATTTTTACAGTTTAAAGACGAGAAGTTACACTGGAAATCTTTACGTGCCAAGTATTTGATACAACAATGTTTTTGACAATAGGTCAGATGGCATTGAGGATTTATGTCAAAATCTCGAGAGAAATATCCATTGGCAAATCTTGTCACAACTTAACGCACCTTCCAGAGTTCTCGGCGCGATGTGTCACGGTCATTATCTCTACCTAATTTCTTTCGGAATGCTATCGCATTAACACTTACTGATATGGGAACAGTTTTTGTAGAGCTAAGGTGTTGTGAGATATTAACTGAACTTAACATATCGTATATGTTATTCTCCTTACATGTATATTGTTTGTAATAAACTACTTACGCGTATATGACAAACGTGAGGACCAGAATACTATCGTACAAAGATATATTGCTTGAGCTTCTAGTGGCGCAGGAACCTTTTTACAAAATGTTCCTCGCGATTGCAGGGTGTTGCTTCTTAACAGCACGATGGTGGTGTAGCAACAAAATTAGTAAATGAACATAGTTAAGACGATAAACAAAGTACATGCCAATGAACACGTCGCAGCATAATCATACAGCATTCTCAAAATAATATGTACACATCGCGTTTTTCTTCGTTTTTTTTTTTTTTTTT